AATCAAAAGTAGCTCTTAGGTATCTCACAATAGGTTTAATCCCTGAAATAATGTCATTTCATTGATTTTGCTTTTGGAAATCCATGCATCTGAAAGAATCGCCACTCTTGTATACCGCGAATTATTCTCTGAATAAGCTGGGCATGGGATGGCACAGGGCGCTGTGGGGTCAGTTTAGCTCTACTGAAAATCTCATGGCAGGCATTAAGTCTTTTCTTTTACAAAGAGGCACTTGCTCTGGATCTCCTCAGACATTCTTTTCATCTTGGTTCTGTCATGGATCTGTCTTCTTCCATCATATCGCTATGCTAGAACAGTCAGTGATCAGAACATCCTCATGCCATGAGGATCCACAGTAGATTAAGTAAACTGCAGATCAATCGCATTCACCCAGACCTTTCCGGGACTGTGTTATTCTCACATGTCCTCAATGTAACTTAAAGTTCAGAATCTTGCTGGGTCACATCTTATACCACTTTTACACTCTGTTAAGTGATCTTCTTATTCTTCTTGAACTTCTCACTGCATTTCCAACTGAATGTTGCAGTGGCATAATGGCGAGCAAATTAGACCAGACCTCCCTTACCTAGCCCCTGGACCGTAGGTTCATCTTTAATGTGGGTGAAACCAGAAGATGGCTCCATATAGCCTTGTAGGCCTGAGTCTGGCCGGGTTATGTGGGTGGCTTGTCCACCAGGCTGTTGTCGGTGAATCGTTAAAGGATACAAAGCTCTTCACCACACCAAGGTCACGACCCTCAGAGGGGTGTCTGCTCAATGAATAAATCAAATCCTGACCCCATGACCCTGCTCTGGTTAAGCAGACAAGTGAATAAACCACCCAGAATGACACTTGTAGAGCTCATTCTAAGGCTGCTCACAAAACAACAGCGAGGCCTCATGCTTTTGAAGAGCCATTTGATTTAAACTTTAGCAGTATTTTTTTCTGAAACGGTTTCTCTTAAATGGCTTGAAACCACCTTTGTGGGTCAGATCATGTTGTATTCTCCAGGTGGAGACGTTTGGGATTTGGGAGTTCGACGAGCTGCTCTGGTCCCGACTCTGCTCATTAATGTTAAAGTCTCCTGACACAGAGCGGGTGGCGAGATTAAATAATAATGTGCAGCAAACTGCCTGGGCATCCGTCTTCGTCCCCCGTCCCAGACTGCCAGTTATTTTTAGCAGCCCATGAAGTGTGAACACACCCCTCTCTTTTGGACCAGTCCTTCAGGACTTGACGCCTGAGCTGGGCTCATTTTAATTTGTGACGACTGCCTTGCGGCAGGGAGGCTAGTGACCCCAGAGCCACTGGTTCCAGTGCTTTACCGCAGTGTTAAGCTCACTAGTGACTGCATATTGGTATCTTATGAATAAATATCCATGCACGCATCAGCCATATATTACTAGGGTTACCATACGTCCAGGTTTCCCCAGACGCGAATTTTCATTTTACAGGGTGGTTAGGGAAATCTTATTAAAATTCATATGACACTACCTGGTTGGCTGGTGAATGCGAAAACTCATTAATATTCGGATCCCCATACATGTCCTCCTTTTTTGTCTCACCAAATATGGTAAACCTATATATTACAAAAAATCGAACGTAATGCCCAGTCCTGGGTATCATTCCTTAAAGCGTGACCCCCTCACTGGAGTCTGCTGGCTGTCGCTAATGATATTCATGTTGTTTTTTAATGGACACCCCTTCTGAGTTGTAAGTGTACAGAAAAAAGCCAGCGTACCAACAATCAGTGCAATCTACTGAAAACGTTTCAAAAAATGTCCAGCATTTCCACAGTCTGTTCTTCAGTGTTCCTTCTTGGTTTGTTCTACCTGTTAATACTATATAATTCAGAACCCGTGCGTTCCGTGTGGGTTCCGCCAAGCCGGCTCTCCCACTCAGCTTTGTACATGCCTCCCCCCCCCATGTTCACCGCCTCCCAAAACCTTATCCCAGCAGGATCAAAAAGAGCTTCTTCGTTCCCACTTCTTATGCCCTGAATGACAGGCCTGTAACAGCTGGTCTGGCACCTTTGAGCCTCCTGGTGGGATTTGCTCTTGCGATGCAAGGGCACAGTCGGACCGGCGAGCCTTTTCCAAGCCACCGGAGCGGAGCGTGGGTGCTCCAGGAGAGTGCCTCACTGCATACGATGAGGCCCTGTTGTTAGGGGGTCTGTGCTTAACCGACACACTTTCGCGACATTATCTACGAAAATAATTGGAAACACTTCAGCCAAGCACGGCTTTGTCGTGCCATCTGTCCAAGGCCTTCAGCTGGCCTGGATTTGATCTCAAAGCTCTGCTCTGTTTGCCTTCAGCTATTTATCCAGGTTTACCTTCTCATGCATTATTTCTGAGAACTCTAAGAACAGAGGCTTATGGGGAGGCTGCAGAGATCAAGCGTCATGATCAAGAGACTTCTGTTGTTCACTTGTAGTAAGAGGTCTTACCTACCCACCTCCATGACGGTAGCAGCCAGAATGTTATGGTGTGCCATCTTCACAAACATTGGTAGCGTTGACCACGATTATGGGGGTGGTGGAGGATGTCACACGCTCAAGGAAACAAGTTTTACAATCATATGTGTTTCTGGGGAGACAAAAGGCTGGACATGGGGCTGGAGTCTCTTACTTTGCCCCTGAACGAAGGACACTGTGGCATCCATCAGGTTTTTTTTATTATCGATCGTGTCGAATATCTGTCAAATGCTCATGCTGTGTTGGTGAAGTAGATGTTCCCTGGTATGTAGTTCACACACACACACACACACACACACACACACACACAAAGGGAAAATACTGAATTACTACAAGGCAGAGATGGGACTGCAGAGTTAAAAATGACTAATAAGGTTTCAGCCCTTTGTGTTCAGTAAAATACCGCATACCAGGGCAATGCCCAACGCAGCTTAATCAGATGAGCTGATTCTGTTCTCAATGCTACTGATGTCTAGTGATTGATCGAGGAAAAATAGGGTAGGAAACTTGTTTTTCCTCCGGGAATAGAGTTTGTTCGTGTCCTAGAGTTTTTCTTCAGTGACTGACACATAGAGCTGGAGACAGAGATGTCAATATCATGGTATTTCATTCATCCCTCTCTGCCTGCTTTCCCCTCTCTCGATTTTCTCTCCTTCTGTCCTTGTTTCTCAGTCTCTTTATCTGTCTGCTTCTCTCTACAAGTCTTCATTAATTGTTCATGGGGATGAATGAAACCAATACTCTGACCTCACTGCAAAACATCACAGAAAATCAATAACTTTGCTGCAATAAAATTTAAGAAGGAAAGAATGCTCCTCTCAAATATGAATCACGCTTCTATCTGTGTGTTAGGGACTGGGGCTCTTTTTTCTTCAGTATTACCAGGAGAGCAGTGTTCAGGTTCTCTCATTACAGACAAACGTCAAAGGTTGGTGAGGAATATTCAGGTTCTCTCCTTACTGACAGACCTCAAAGGCAGATGAGTGATGTTCAGGTTCTCTCCTTAGTGACAGACCTCAAAGGCAGATGAGTGATGTTCAGGTTCTCTCCTTAGTGACAGACCTCAAAGGTGGATGAGTGATGTTCAGGTTCTCTCTTTACTGACACACCTCAAAGGCAGGTGAGTGATGTTCAACTTCTCTCCTCACTGAGATGCCTCAAGCGCAGATTAGTGGTGCTCAGGTTTTCTCATTACTCATAGACTCCCTTCTGCATCCCCTGGACCTCCCAACCCCACTCAGTAGTCAACAAAACAAAGAAATGACTGTCCATTCAAGCTCTTTTTTGTCTGGATTTTAAATACCATGTTTAATATTCCACTGCTGCCTTAGACGTGGGGGGTGGAGTTTGCAGTGCTTTAAAGCTTTGGGGACCACAAAGAGCATGTTAATTTGTACCATGAGAATGCATGGTCCTTAAAGTTAAAGCACTTAAAGATAATCAAAATGGCTTTGGTGACTGTGGGTGAGCCATAGTGTGTCACGTTTTCACTAAACAGCAGCTGACAACAGTCAGCTAAAGGAGGGGGGTTACGTGAACCAACATTATCAGATCCGACAGCTTGGCAGTCGAGGGGCTGCGGTGCCTATGTTTGGGGGGGGGGGGGGCTTATTTTCTGAGCATCCCTAGGATGGTCCACAGTCCCCGGTTTGACAAAGAGCCGATGCAAGAGTCACAGGCACCACATCTGTCGCTGGGCTGTAATGGGCACTTGAAGGGTCGCAGTGGAGACTCCTGCATATCTTGTTGCCAGATTGCGAAAGGCCAAGACTGTGGCAGCTACTTCTGCAGAGCAACGAGCTCCTAACAATGGCCTTTAATTGATGGTATGGTACCATGGAGCTGCGCTCAGAAGGTGCTGGGAGGTGGAAAATATGCTCTTGGCTGGCAGCATTGTTATATTAATTATGATGCTGTCCCGTGTTTTGTGCCTTTTGTCCGAGGGTCCGCAGCTTGCAGTGCTGTGGACCTTTCCCCGTCTGCACCCAGGTTGGGTGGAGCAGCTTGTTTCTCAACCAGCAACATCACAGTAGGTTAGTGAGGTCATTGATGCTCTTGATTTCCTGTAGCACCTGTTTGCTTAGTAATGTTAGCCTAGCTTCACCCATAGCCTAGCTTCACCCATAACGTAGCATTAGTGCTAGCTTGGTACCTTAGCACTCCAGGGCCCAAAAAGGTAGGAAGAATGAGCTTTGGGAAGGTGGATCCTTCTAGAAAGGCAGCACTTACACCTACCAGTATACCTGTATCTTCTTAAAATGGACATTATTAAATGATTGTAATTATTGTTGGATTTTATGGTCTGAGATCTACTGCGTGTGGTGTGCCTTGGGGTTTCAGATATTTCGGTGTGTGTCCCCCAAAGACCAACATTGAGGTATTAGTACAGTTCACCAGATGAGCTGATTCTGTTCGCATTGCTACTGATGTCTGACAGCAATTCCTGTAACTACTCGCTGGAAACAGCTGAAGCCGTCACCAGCTCATCTCTGTGTGGCTTAAACTGTGATTATCAGGTCTGATTGAAGCTCAATGCTCCATCATTGAGTCCAAAACCCTGATTGGTCAAGAATGTTGTGGGTGGTAATCCAGCACAGAGCAGCATAGTGGTTATGAACCTGTTTAGTCATCTGAATGTTACTGGTCAAGTCTTCAGCGGGGCCTTGGCAACCACCTTTCGGCAAGGGGTTAAACTCAATTACTGAAATATGTTTCTATATAGATGGGTAAAGGCTGAGAAGTTCAGATGAAAGCATCAATTAAGCAACTGAATGCACTTTCCTTGATGAGTAGATCCGCCTAGTTCGTCAGCTGTTGCCAGTTACCTGTGAGGAACTATGACTGTAGGAAGGAAGTCGACAATGACATGTCATATTGAGAGGACAGTCACACCTCTCCGTGACTCCAGCAGCAACTTCAGTGGATTATTGCTCTGTCACAATGCCATTTCCCAGGAAGACAAACACTGTGATGGCCAGGGACACGTAGCGTCACACTCAAAGTGGGATGAGGAACTTGGTACCCGACTCTCCAGCTCAGCTCAGGTCTGTAAAGGATGTGCTGTGATGCACCAGCTGAGGCTGAGTGAATCGTACCAGACCTCAAAGACGTCTGTGCCGCTGTCTAATTTCCTTTGGACCAGCTAATGCAACGTCTACTGACATATTTGTGTTTCCTCCTGCAGTTCTGGCACCCAACCACGGCTCCGCTGCCGTCAGCAGGAAGTGCGGCTCCATTTACAGGGGCTTCTCTCAGTGTCTCCTGGCCCTGGGGGACAGCATGTCGGAGAGCCTGCAGAGGGGCGAGGACACGCAGGAGATTGACAGCGTGTGCAGGTGACTGCGTAGGAGCTACCCTGAGATGCGTGAAAACAGCAAAAAAAAACCAAATATACATACATTCCCCCTAAGGCAGTTCCCCAGTATCAGTCAGGACTGGGGCATATAAGACTGACTGACAAACTGATTAAAAAGGCTGACAGCTCAGTGTATGCCCCAGAAACTCAACACATGCACTTAGACAGACACTCCTCAGCATCAGTACCAAACCTTAGTTTGACGATGAGGCTGGGGGTCGAGCGGGTGTCCAGATGAAAGCCCGTCTGTCACGTTCTTCTGTTTTCTGTGTTGTCTTTATTATCTTTTACCTCACTGCAGATCAATCCACCACTTACATTTGATAGCGCAATGCTACAGCAAAAAGTGCTGTGAATCGTTCGGTGTACAAGGCCTGCCTGTTAGACTTCCCCGTTTTGTATCTCTCCTTCACTTTCTCCCCGTGTGAGATTATGGAGCTTCCTGCAGGCTGTCTCCCCCCCCCCAACCCCCCTGTCAGCTCCCCGCCTGTGCTGATGGAGAGTGCTTAATTAAAAATTGAGATTCTCTCTTTCTCATCCCCTTCTGTCTTTCTATATATACGCACACGTGCGTAATTCATGTCTTTATTAAATCCCCAGTAGCCCGGGTAGAAACCCACGGACACCTCCCATTTAGCCGCATCGCATCACGTGGAATAGCGCCTACCCCCCCCCCCCCCCCCCCGCCATCAAGGCAGAGGAGTGTATCCGTGCCAGGGCATCGATTTCCGAGATCAGCCGGAGGCTCCCTGATCGGAGCGCACTGGGGATCCCAGCTGCACTGTAACAGCAGGCCTCACACCTCTCATCAGCCAGGAATAGCAGATCTCACTGTGCTATCTTGCAGTGGGTACATAATTAATCGTGAAGATCTATTTGTAACATTTTCGTTGTCCCTATATTACAGAATTTATGGCCGTGATCAAAAAATGTAGACATTCGGCACAGTCAGTCACAAAAGTGTTCTTTTTATTTTCTGGAAACATGCTCCTTGTTATACTCAGCTGTTCAATCAGCTGTCCGATGTATGTTAAAAAAAAACTGTTTTTTCCTTCTACTGGGGTGTTCTGACTGGATCATGAATCACCTCTGGTGCCCCCTGCAGGTCTTGGGATGAGTTTCACACCTGTGTGAACGTGGTGCTAGCAGGGTGCCCAGATGAGGCGGCGGCAGTGTGGGAATCGCTGCGGCAAGAGTCCAAGAAGATGCAGTTCTCAGGGAACCTGTACGATATGTGTGCCAACCGTGCCCAGCCCACTGCCAGTATGCAGAGCCCACCCAGCCAGCAGGAGACCAATCAGGAATCTCTGAAAGGCCACGCCCCCCAGGATGACCACACCCACCTCGTGCTGCTTGCCGCGTGTCTCCTCTGTCTGTGGCTACCTGTGTCAAGCTTCTAGCCGAACCACTGCAAAGGAGGGGAGGCTGGGGTCTGTTCGGAGAGGAGCACACAGATGGACAGCCATGGGGAGATGGGGAGGGCCACGCAATTTTGGTCTTGTGTCAGGTTTCCAGCACTGAGCATGTGCGATGTACCTCCTCACCTTGGAGAGACATCAGCTGAGCAACTTCAGTAACACGAGTTCAGTCACATCTACACACTCACACAGACACACACAGCTTACTCTCCTCCTATCTAGTTTTGTCCATGATGGAACACTTGTCTGGAAAGTTGAGCTCTTGGATGGATGAAGAGGAGGGAAAAAAAATCATGATGGGGGAGGGGCCTTGTGGAGAGGATTCTGGGTAATTTCACAAAAGCCTGAGTCAGATCCAGAGCCCATATTAAGCTGCCAGACATTCAAAACAAGGCTGTAAAAAAGTGATCTGCCAAGCGTACACTTTCACTAGGTACATTTTTCATTCAAGTATTTTTTGAGTATCTTATTTCAGCGCGATCTGGCGGAAGATGGCGGAAAATTATAATTTTTAGGAAATTACCCCATTTTTGTGTTAAATTTACAACTCTCCTGCAATCAATACGAAATGGAAATGATTACTGCAGAGGCCTCAGAAAATGTGCTGCACGTGTTGGTCTTTACATCACACCTGAGCTGGTGTTCATGCTCTCATCAGCATAACAGCAAGGCCATTAAGCACAGAACTGTAAATATCATACATTGAGGTTTTTATGTATGTGATTTTAAAAAATATTTACGGCAAAATCCCACAGTTAGCTTTATGTGTGTTGTTTTTGCCATAAACTGTTGTTCACTTTATCATTTACATTTGTGAAGTTCCTTACGTTTCCTCCCTGTTTTTGTAGAATTTGTGTTTATCAGACTTCTAAGTGTCAGATATTCATGTGACATTTCAGTAATGATAGTCCACAGGAAACACTTTTTTTGCATGAAAGACTGCACAGCTTCATAAAAGGTAATTATATTGCAATAACATTTAAGTGTATTTTTGCCTATAGATATGTAGTAAAAATACAATTCAATGCTAAATATAATTACAGCTAATACAAAAATATTGATATATTGGTATGTTGTCATCAATAAATTACGTTATTTGTTAATATTTGTCTGTGTAAATGTCATGGGTCTTTTCCACTGCAGCCTCAACTCATCATGTGATTTACTTTGGTTTGTCAGAGATGAAAAGAATAAGCTCAGCTTCATTTGTCATAAAGAAGATCGACTTTATAAAAACCAGACAATCCCTCCTGGTAATATTTTTTTTTCGCACAATATCCTCCTTCTTTTGTCAAAATGAAAGAAATGAAACAGTTGCGTAAGTAAAGGTATAGTAAAGCATTTTTTCATACATGGATTCATGTTTTTTTTCTTGCACTTAAACTGACGAGAATTTATTGGGAAGTTTTATATGTGGTAGATATTTTTCTGTATGTTAATCATGCATGCAGCACAAATATTTTTAATGAAAGGAGAAAAAACTGAGATCAATTACTCAGATCCTCCGTGTCTAACAGAAAGAGCCTCAGTCGAGGGTCCACGGGTAGGCTACAGGAGATCCTTAGAACATTTTGCAAAATGTGACAAAGTTCATTGTTTATACCGCTCTATGTTGCACTCCTCCACTCTTGTTTTTCTGAAAAAACAAAGTTTCTCAACACATATGATTTGACATCTCACACCATCACCAAAAGATATTTTACAGGAACTCCCTTCAAGTGAAACATGTATCATTAAACGGTTCTTAGTTCTTCACTTTTTATAAAATCACGCATTGGTGGCAGGGGGCTGCTGTCATGGTCTGTTTCCATTTGGCGGTACTTGGTCTAAGTAAGACTGACAAACCCTGTCTGACAGAAAGCAATCCATCCTGCTTGATTTTTTTGCTAATCATGCATTAACATTTATTTTGTTTTAATAGCTATTTAGCATACCAATGTAAAAACAAACAGCCATTAATTGCAAGAGGAAATTGTTCTGATATGATTGTATCTGAGTCATGCCAACATTTAAAAATTGCAGAGTAACAGAGTAATAATGTGCAGAAGTCATGTTCACATTTCGGGAGAAGCAGGAGTCATGCCCACTGTTTTACTGCAATCCTTTGATGTTCAGTCCTGCTCTGTGATACAAGGTTGTCTCCTCCCTTATTTTATATATTGCATGTTTCTGCACTGCACCCATATAAATCATAGGATACCATCTCACTTTATTCAAAACTGCTTAAGTCTTTTAGCTGTACATGTTAAACATATTTTGGAAGCAGATAGAGGTAATTTATAGCATTCAGAATAGCTTTGAAGAAATTACCAGCAGACGCACATCACAAGTAATTATCCTTCTCTTCAGTGTGCAAATATTAAAAATGAATGTTTGTTAAGTCTGAATTCTGGAATGATTACACATCACAGTCGAAATTACATCTCGCACGATTAAACAGTCTCAGACCTAATTCAATACTGCATGCCAGAAATATTAAATCTTAGTCAAACTGTAATTATTATTAATTAGTTACTAAGCAGATAGTGCTGAAATTAATCTAACCTATTACATAAATTTGTTGTACATTGAGTATAATGTTACTTAGTGTTGCACAAAAGTCACATTTCAGCCACAAGATATTTAAGTAACTGCAGGAAATGAGGTTGTGAATCCGTCATTTATGTCAATTATTATTTGCATATTAATGAAGCGGACAATGTCCAATAATGTTGTCATTGTGTGTTTTTCTGTGATGGATGTGCATTCTTCTCACAGAGTGCTTTCCAGAACGGGTGCCACATCACTGACTCTGACGGATGTGTTATTAAAAATAAAGGGATGAATTATCGTTCAGCCGCGATTATGTTATTATTACCATAGAGCAATAGCGGTATAGATATTACCAAGTACAATATGAAGAACTGATTACATGATTAATGGTGTATACCTTAAGACAGAAGGATAGAAGATTACCACGCCTCATAAGCTTCTGCTGAAATCTGTTTTGTCTGAAAAATTATGGATCCGGATGGACTCGACACCATGTAGATGGACTCTCGATTGCAGGCAGGGATCCCAGCCATTTGGCATGAAGGAGGGAATAACTTTAAAATGAAAATAGAAGTTCACATCCATGCGAAAGAAGCATTGTTGAGAAGTAAACACATTATCTGATTATTGGAAAGACTGGAAATATTATAATGGCATTAAGATAATCAGGTTTGGGTAATAGAGCTTGTGCTCGGAGAGCGTGCCATCATGCGGGTGTGAAATGTGCCTTTGGGCTCTGCTGTAAGGCATGGATTTCAGGATCCTACGTGTTATTTCATGACCACTTCGGATTACATCATCATTTCTCAGCTTCCACACTCCTTTCAGTGTTAATATTTCATGTCTGATAGCTGCTCCAGTAAATAGTCAGCTGGAAGAATGGGAATTACCTCCTGCCCTGCCCTCTGTGTTTTATTTTCCTGTACATGACACACATAGAGTCTAACACATACATGCACACTCACCCGGACACTGAAGCTAACCCTTGCGGTTGCCAGGTTACACGGATGACAGTCATCCCTTCAGTGGGCCAGACTTTCACGGAGGTAGACTTGTGGTGCAATCAAGTTTTGTTGGTTTATTATTCCAGCACATCACGGGAATGCCGTTTTCCATATTTGATAAACGTAAACCGAGCTCTGCCTTGCCTGATCCCCCTCCTCTATTCTTCTGTGCAAAGACTTCAATCCTAATGCTGTCTGATTGATCACAGGACAGCGCGGGCGTCTTTATCCGCCATGGTCCCACCTCCCCGGGCCTCCGCAGATGTTCCCTGCCAGACTTGAGGTGAATCCGGGGGCCCTGTCTCCTCCGATGGCTACTGCGGGCCATTGGGAAGCAAGCTGGAGTGTGGCTCATTGGGTTACAACTTTGTGCCTGTGTTTAGAAGGTTACTGGTTCAAATCTCAGGGTCAGCAAAGTGATTTACTGTCAGGCCCCTGAACAACACCCCTAATGCCCAAACACTCTAGGGACTGTCTAACCCTGTTATCCCAAACATGTATGTTGCTTTAGGTAAATGTCTGCTAAATAAATTAAATTTAAGTGCTTTGTTATGAACTGGGTGGCTTGTGGCTCATTGGAAATTAATTGGAAGTCAAAGATTATGAAATGGAGGAAATCGTGTTATGAGATCAGACATTGGGTTACTCAGTGGGCAGCACTGATGCTCTATATTTCTATGGCCAGAGGTTCAGGTCCAGCCTCTGCTCTGGGTGTGGAGTTTACATCTTCTGCCTGTGTTGCATGGTTTACCTTCAGCAGTCTTAAGACCTACAATTCAGCTTATTAGCATCTCTCAACAGCCCAGTATGTGTGCATATGCCCTGTATTAACAGGCTACAGGTCCTCTGTGTCCATGCTCAAGATAAGTCAGTAGAAGATGGATGTTACTGTGTCCTGAAGGCAACCTGGACAAAAGTAAAGTTTCACCAAAGCCTGGTGCACTGCTAGAGGAGTGTACACTGCTTTAGCTCGGGTGCTACGATGCTAACGCCGCCAGTGACAGAGGCCTCAGGAAACTGAGGTCAGCAAAGCGTGATGAACACTGGTTCAGGGACAGAAAATGAATTCAGCCAATGATGCTATTAGATGGAAACAGGAAGACAGGCAGGGATCAAACTGAATGGGAGGCTTCCCTGAATACGTGAGCGAATCATTGGCATTTGTGACAAGGCTAACCAATGTGCAAAAGAAAAGCGTTCGGGGCCTGAAGACATGAAAGAACAGACTCCGAAAATAATCATTTTCAAATATTTTAATAATGCCTCAGGTCTTCTCTGGAATTGCTCTTGCTACTATAACTGCAGGTGTGTTGCAATTAACCAATTAGAGCAGAATTAACTAGCAAGGTTGTGTACTCTCCCTGCGTCGCCCCTCCTGGTGCACAAGTAAATTCACATCATAGATCAGCACCACTATAACCCTTGAAGATAAAGTTTACAACAGCATCATTAAGAGTGACCTCTAACATAATGCATATAAAACATCTGCATATCCCTAAAATGGCATGTTGACAGACCAACTCCCCACGATGGTTCATCAGAGACTGCATTTCCTCAGACAACTGAAGGTGCAGTCAGCACCATCTTGCTGGATTCTACGCAGCCATCACAGAGAGGACCTTGACATGTTCTGACACCGTATGGTATAGTAACATAGACACCCTAACAGTGAAAGGACTGTATTATAGTACAACAAAGGTCTCTAGGTACCTGGTAGTTCTCAGCTGAAACCCGTTACATCCAGCATACCGCTAAATGTGCTAAAAGGATGATCGTGGATCTGTCACACCTTGCACGTACCTTATTCCAGCAGCTTCTCTACAGTACACCATTCAGATCACTCGTGCCACCTCACGATTAACGAATCGCCTCTTATCTAATGCCACAATGCCACAGTGCCACATGGCCACAATGCCACAATGCCACAATGCCGCATGGCCACAGTGCCACAATGCCACAACGCCGCATGGCCACAATGCCCCAATGCCACAATGCCACAATGCCGCATGGCCACAATGCCACAATGCCCCAATGCCACAATGCCGCATGGCCACAGTGCCACAATGCCGCATGGCCACAGTGCCACAATGCCACAATGCCACAATGCCGCATGGCCACAATGCCACATGGCCGCAATGCCACAATGCCGCAATGCCACAATGCCGCATGGCCACAATGCCCCAATGCCGCATGGCCACAATGCCCCAATGCCCCAATGCCGCATGGCCACAATGCCACAATGCCACAATGCCACATGGCCACAATGCCACATGGCCACAATGCCACATGGCCCCAAAGCCACTCAACAATTAAGGTACTACCCTTCTTTCAGGTATTCGTAATGCACTCTACCACTTATTGAAGTGCACTAAATTTCATTTGCACTGTTATGCATTTACTAAGCATCAATTTTGCATTTTATTTCATATTCAATGTTCATTCAAAGCTGTTTTGTTTTTGGACATTTCATCTATTATCATTTACAAGGTTGCCGTGTACAGTGTATGAGGATTTTTTTCATTGCACGCTTTCTGTTGATGCCCTGTAGTGGTGCACGTGCCATACGCTG